CTTGGGCTCTGCCCACAGGATAAGCCATCCTCAAGCCAGTCCCATCGCATCCAGGAAAGTGGGTCACAGTGGCCCACAGGCGGGGACCCCCGAGCTGCAGGCCTGCACTGGGGCGTGTGGGCCTCAACAGATCTCCTGGGGACTGCTGTCCCTGGAGGACCATATGGCACTCCGCTAACCACTGCCCATACCCACAGGCCTACTAGTTCTGCCTCCTAGATGAAGAGTCCATGGCCAAGGTCAGCTTACCCATTGCACTGCCAGGCATCCATGCCTGGGCGGCTTCTGCTTACTGAAAGGCAAGAGATACAACACCATGAGAATGGGCACTGAACCACGCACGGTCCACTTCCCAGCAAGGCTGGGACAGGACCTGTGTCCTCCTCACCCTGCTGAGGTGCAGCCCAGGGCACAGAGAAGGGCAGGGAGGGGGCAGCCATGCTGCAGGCAGACACCCAGCAGGGGCTGTGACTGTGAGCCCAGGGAGCCCAGGGCCGGGTAGGAGCCCTTGCTGCCAGTGCTGTGAGTGTGCAGCTGGGGCTCGAGGCACCTGGGACCACCACACCTGCCCAGGGTACCCCCCACCCTCCCTCCCCACCATGTACTGGCCCCCTGAGGTGCCTGCTTTCCATCTCACCCTCCTCTGTCAGCCCGGACCGTGGGCATCTCTCCACCACTTGGCTCCTGCTTTTTCTCCAGGTTCTGGCACAACATGGAGCCAGAAACCCCCATCCCCGAGCTAAGGTGGCCAAGAAGGCTCCATCCCTCTAGGTCACCAGAGCCCACGCTCCAGCCACGGGACCTCTCTCCCTGACATCTGTGGGAACAGCCTCCACGTCTGTCTCCTGCCCTCAGGTCCCACTCCTCCCAGCACAGTGCCCTCCGCTGCAAACCCCTCTGCCCCGGTCTGTACTGGGGAAGCCTGCAGGCAGGTTCGGAGCCTTGAGGTCCCACCCCTGGCCGTCCCTCAGGCCGGGCCTTTAAGCCTTTAGCTTGGCCCCTGAGACCCAGGTACCTCCTGGACAACTGCCACCTTCTAGGCTGGTGCCCCAACCCTGTGGCCACAGCTCTGGAATGCTGATGACCCGGTTGTGTCCCCTAGGAGCAGGGCAGGACCCTCAAGCCACCCCCTCTACGTGGATGGATCCTCCCGTGGGTGGATCGGGCTGCAGAGGACTCACCAAAGGAATCCAAGTTTGTCTGGGACAAGGGCTCCACTCTCGTCGTCCTCTTCTCCCAGGTGAAACTGGGCCCCTTTACGAGGACCCTGCAGGGGAGAGGGGACCCAGGTGAGACGTCCGGGTCTCAGTCACAAGGGGAGCTGAAACACCCTCCCCGCTGTGTCCCCAGGGAGGCGGGGTCTGGCTCTCACAAGCACAGTACTTGAGGCAGGGCCCCACCTCCTCCCCCAGCACCCTGGCCCGTACCTGCTCATATTTCAAGATGATCCTTGCTCGCTCCTGGGCCCTGCCGGACCTCAGGGCGTCCATATCCAATCTGTAACACACACACGCACATGTGAGCCAGCACAGGGAGCCCACGGGAACTGCTGCCCTGAGGGCTGTCCCCCTGGTCAGAGCCACATAGGCAGGTGGGCGGGCACCTGGTGGTCGGGTCCCAGGAGGATGACTTGTCCAGAGCACAGGGACTAGGGACGGTTGAGCAAGACAGCCCCTGGCTAGCCTCCCCTGCCCTAAGGTAGGACGCTCTTCCCCCAGCCTGGCATCTATGTGTCCTCCAGGGAGCCCAAGTCTAAGGGTCTCCCTGACCTGCTCCCAGCCCCCACATCTCTAGGGCTCTCAGAGCCGTCCTCCCTGCCCCACCTGATACCAGCTGATCCAACACCTAGTCTTGAACCCATGTCCAGACACAGACACACACCAAGGCCCATTTACCACTGATGCCCAGCAGAGCGGGAGGAATGAGACGACTGTATACACACTGCACACAGGGGCCCACTGAGAGCTCAGCCACATCACTTATGGAACCCGGTGTGGGAGACCAGTGCCACCCACCTGGCGTGACCTTTCCCACGTCACAGCTCATACAGAGAGCCAGTCCCACTCACCTCCATCGCGAATCCATTGGATTCTGTGAAAAGTGCCTCCTGCCTACGCTACCCACACCTGGTCAGTTGGGCAGTAGAAGCACTACTGACCACTGGTTGCCGACAACCCAGAGTGCACAGTTCTCAGTGACTGTGATGTCACAGAATCCTGCCAGCCAATCCCAAGTGACGTGCAGCTGTGGCAAGGGGTCAGGGTCCTCAGCTCTGGCTTCATCAAAAGTCACCAAAAATGGGGCCTGTGTTCTCCCCAGGCCCCAGGTGAAGAGGGCAGGGCTCTGGCAGAACTGCCCCAGAACCAGGGATGCCTGGGCCCTCTGCCACCTGCCGTAACGGTCCCAAGTCCCAGGCAACCTGCACCTCCTGCCCTCCTCTAAAACACAACTTTATTACAGCCCAACTGTGAAGGTCTCTTTATTTGAACACAAGGTGGCACAGGGAGCCCCATCATGGCCTGTCCTTCTTGCTGAGGTCCCCACACTCGGGGCTGCCCCTGCAATGACCTGAACGGAGACTCCCAGGGCTGCAGCCTCCTGTCCTACCACAGGCCCCACCCCAGCCCTGCCAACCCCTGCTGACCCCTCCTGCTCTGCTCCAGCCCTTCTTCCCAGGAGTTGTAGGAGGTGGACACAGGGGGTCCTCCTGCGATGGAGGGCAGGGGAGCCGCCCACTGAGCACCACCTGCATAGGACCTCAAGCCGGCCTGGCCCAGACTGTCCAGAGCGGGAACCAGGGCCCTGTCCTGACACTGGCCAGGGAGGGCTTCAGGCACAGAGCACTGAGAACTCCTTGGCACCAGCTCCTGAGCCGCATGCTGGTAACACCGGGCTGCTGCTGACCTTAAGGACAGGGACAGCACATGTCAGGCAGGAGCAGCCACAGGCCCGCAGCTCCCCAGGGTGCTGATCACCAGGTTGCTCCCTGCAGGGAAAGCGACTCAGCCCTCCCCCAGCACCTCCTTGGTCCTGGGCCCCACACTGCCCCTAGGCTGCCAACTTGGGGCCACAGTCGGTTCTTTTCCCTCAAGGGCCATTGCTCTGCTCTCTGCCCACTTCCCTTGCCCTGGCATGGGGACCACAGTGTCCAGGGCCCTGGTCACCACACCAACACACCTGCTGGCCTCCTCTGCGGGTGAGGACGAGTACACAGTTGTGTCATGTGCAGAGATGCTGTCCAGCAAGACTTGGGTTTTAACTGATTCTGTTATTCCCCTCCCCACTCAGCTTCTCCTCTTTTAAATTTCATTGTACATTCTTTAGGAGATTCACAAAGTGCTGTAAAATAACACAATGAATGATGAGTGGGGATCACCCAGCTTCAGCAGTCAAATATTCTTAATTGTGTGGAAGCTGCCCATGGGTTTCCTTTCTCTGCCTGAGTTCATTCTCCAGATTCCCTAGGGTTCGTGGTCTCCAGATTGCATTTTCCTCCACTCGGGGTGAGGTTTGCTCCCCAGAGTCCATGTGCTGGGAGCATGGGCCCCAATCCAGGTCCTGAATGCACTGAGGCTGGCCTCCTGGGGTGGCTTAAGGTGCACAGGGATTAGTTCCCATTGTTGTTGCTACAAATGTTTATTATTAGAGGGTTGTTACAAATTTTTAATTCATGGATCTTGGCGGGTGGTTGCTTGCTTCCACTGTTCCACTTACCAGAGGCCTGCAGTGGCCAGTAGCTGCAGCTGGATCTCAACCCCAATCTCCCACGTGGGTGGCAGGAACCCAGTACTTGAGGCATCCTCACTGCCTCCCAGGGTGCACGTGCATAAGAAGCTGGACTCAGGAGCCGAGGCTGGGGATGGACCCCGGGTGGTGCAGTATGGGATGCAGGTGTCCCAGTGGTGTCTTCCCCACTTTGCCTGCCCTGGGGTTGTTATTAGGGACAGGGCCTGGTCCTCACGCCCATCTCTCTCGGGCTCCTGCGGAGTGATGCCGTTTCCAGAGTCACACATGCCCATATCGACTCTGAGCCAGGCCCATGATTTTGCTTTGGCCAAGGGCACACCAACCAATGTGACATGGGCAGAGGCTGGATGGGTATGCACGCGTCACAGTGTGAGGCCAGCCGAGACCACGTGAAGGAGCACTGAAGCACCCAACTGTCCAGCCACGATCACCAGACACTCGAGTGAGGCCATCAAGGTGCGCACCAGTCCCCAGTTGACCTCCCATGACCACAGGTACAGGGCACTTTCTGCCCTGGCAATGGAGCTGTGCTGGGGTTGCCTCCACGTGTGCTGGAGGGCCTGGCTGTCAGGGTGCTTCCTCACCACTCACCTCCTAAGGAGAGGGACGCTTCTGGTCTGCAGTGTTTTTTTTTGGGGGGGGGCAGGGTCTCTGCCATGAATGCTCTCTCTGCACGTGGTGGATGGTGGTTTGGGTACTGGCCACGCCTATGCCTCAGTTTGCTGTGTAGAACCTGCTACTCTTGGAGTATGTCAGCAGGGTAGCCCCACACGACCTCAGCTGCCTCTGTTTGCATGCAGAAGTCACAGCTGCCCGGTCACCCCTGTTCCCTCCCACAGAACAGTTGTATGCCTGTGCCTGCGTTTCACATGTGCACACCCCAGGTCCTGCCCAGCTTTGTGGCAGATCATCTGTGCACATCAAAGATGGCACTTGCTCTTGAAGTGAGCTTCCCCATTCACTTCCAGGCTCAGGAGGCAGGCCACTAAGAATGCATGGGCAGCGGGCACTCCTGGCTAAAAGGGTGTTAAATACTCACGTACCTCAGTTCCGCCAAGGAGCAGGGATAAATATGGCAGGTAGGAAACGGGCCTAAACTGCTCTTGATGACTCTATTCAATAATGTTGGTCTTTCCCTTCCAGTCCCACATAACAACAGTCATTTTCAAAATGGGGTGCTGCAGTTGTTTTTAAGGAGGAATTGACAATTGTGACCTATAGAGCAGTAATTTGCCAAATGTTCTTTCTTTAAGCTGTTTGCTGGGAGATGCAGGAAGCCCACGAGTGCAGAACTTGAGGTGAAAAATGGCTGTACCTGACGATAGTGCCAAGTGCGGAGGCAGTGCACAACCTTGGCGGTGATGTTCAGAGGCAGAGCTGAGGCCAGCGAGAGGCAGAATCGGGAGCTTGCACCCCAGACAACTAGGCTCAGAAGGTACTGAATAAACCTTATTTCACTTTGCAAGTGCATTTTACCTAGCTGTCTCTGCACTTCAGAGCCCCACAATAGGATTCTAACCCGGAAGTCACTGATTATTGTCATTGGACAGGAGGGATGGTGGCTCCAAGAACCACTCATCAGAGTGCCTGACAAATGCTCTGAGTGCAGCCGAACAATGCTGAGCCCTTAGATTCCTTATGCAAATTCAGAAGCAGCAGCCCAGGCACTCTGCTTGGGACTGGGTTCACTTCGAGATCACAGGTGCATGTGATTCATTCTTTGCTCTCTCGTGCTGCTGGATGTCGGGTGCCCAAGGTGAGAGTATGTGTGGGTGTTTTGCGTATGCTCATCTGAGACTCTGCTCTGCTCGGGGCTGGCATTTGTTCTGGAGTTTTCCCTGCAGTCCTCCTCCCTTGCTTGCCAGTTCATGAAGTTAGAGCATCACAGGCCAGACTTGCTGGCCGGGGTGAGGGGTGGGAGACAGTGCGTCACAGGGTCCAGGGTGCAGTGGCTTCCAAGGTATCGCCCCTCCTGCCTTTGAATTTCTGAAGCCCAGAGCACTCAAGACCTTTTGTTAAAGGCCTTTCAGGGCAACAAGAGGAGGGAGAGGGAGTAGATTTCCCATAGTCTGAGAGAGGTGATGGGAAGAAGGGTGCCCCCATTACCTAATGGCATCTTTTAGAGGGAGCAAGGCCTCAGGGGAAATAGTTCCCAGTGTGGGCCAGAGGAGAATGGCTTGCAATTCTCAGCCTTTACAAAACTCCTGCACCTTGTAATGTGCACTACAAGGAGGTATTGCTGGGTCCCCTGAGCCTCCTTTGGCCTTAAGCCATGGAGTTGTCAGCAGCAACCCTGTTGGGGCTGGAGGCCTCCCTGCGGTTTACGGACTCTGTCTATGGGCGAACCTGGAGGAGAAGGTGGCCCCAGTGATGAATGAGATTTTTTTTTTAAAAGTTTTATTTATTTGCAAGGCAGAGTCACAGAGTATGAGAGAGAGTGAGAGAGACAGAGAGAGAATCTTCCCTCTGCTGATTCACTCCCCAAATTGTCGAAACAGCCAAGACTGGGACAGACAGAAGCCAGGAGCCAGGAACTCCACCCGGGTTTCTCACATGAGTTTCGGGGGCACAAGCACTTGGGCCATCTTCCACTGCCTCCCTAAGCACATTAGTAGGGAGCCGGATCAGAAGCATAGCAGGTGGGACTGAGACCAGACTCCAATATGGAGTACCAGGGTTGCAAGCAGTGGCATAACCTGCTGTGCCATAATGCTGGTCCCACAAAGGATATTCAGTTCCTTTTTTTTCTGCCAATATTTTATTATATCAATGGCACTACATTTAAATGGCCATGAAGGCCAATTCAGTGTAGTTCCATTGGAATAAAATTCAAGGATTTGAAATGCAGGGGCTCATGGAGAATGTAATTAAAAGCTGTCTATTTGGGTGCAAAGCTTTTTGAAATCCATGCATAGTTTGTTAATCATACGTACATTTTCCATGAACTGTTTGAAGACCTGTCACCCACAGCAGCGAGCTGGGTGAGGAAGGGCAAGGCTCCTCCCACAAGTGGAGGCCTCCTAGAGGGAATGAGCTGTGGGTCATGGGTCAGCCTCTGTGTCCTGGGGCTGTCATGGAAGGACCTCTTGGGGAGTCAGCAGGGGAGGCTCAGGAGGCTGCTGGGGCAGAGGGCAGGGCTGCAGCGTGAGGGAGAAGCTGACATGGGCAGCAGTGTGCTCAGACGGAGGGGCAGCTTCCTGCTTCTCAGTTCCCACGCCTGATGTCCATCCTCCAGGGGATGACTTCAGTGGAGGGCACAATTCCTGTCCTATGAAACAGCCCCATCCCCTTGTGGTCCTGTCAAATAAAAGAGAACCCAAGTAGGAATCTGGGCTGGGCTAACCCAAACACTCTCAATGATGAGATTCTTAATCGTTGCCAACAGCAGGAGGCATGTTGGTGCTGACCCCTCCCCACACGTCCTCCTGATGCAACCACTGCCACCTGTACTGCTTGCTGGTTTGGTGCCAGTGCCCGGCCATCATCCTCTGCCTCACTCAGGGTGAGCTCGGTTGCTACAGCAACAATACCCTGGGATCTCAGCGGTGTAAACAAGCACATCCATTTCTCTCTCAGCTTGGAGGCTCTCCCTCACTCAGGCAGGGAGCGGCCTTCCCCTCTCTGCTTCCCTGAGAAACAGGGCTCCTGTCCTGGCCTTTCTGCTTCAGAGGCCCCAGTGGTCAGGAGGGCCTTCCTGGAAAATCATCTGTGTCCCACCCTGTGGGCTGTGACCAGTCAGGGGTATCAGGGCAGCCTGCATCCACATCTGGTTCCAGGTGGGTTCCAGTTGCTGGATAAGCATCCCTGGAGATTTCCTCTGTCTCTGTCCAGAGCCTGAGACCAGCAGGGTGAGGGGTGGTGTGGGGAGCAACTGGGAGCAACTCGGACTAGACTAAGTTACTGGAATTAAGACTTATTCTATGCATCTGCTCTCCCACAATATGGCGCTGAGAAGGGAGAAGCAGCTTCTACACAGCTGCCTCCAGTTCAACCAATAAACAGCAGGACCTGCTCCTGATTGGAGGAGAGCAGCGTACTCGGCGTGTGGGTAGCAGAGTTGGGATTGGTGGAAGAGGACTATAAAGGAGGAGAGAGACAACATGCACCAGGAACATCTAAGGGGAACACCTGTGCAGCCCCCCAGAGAGCCGGCCGGCGGTGTGCCGCTCCCCCGCGGAAGTGGGTGAAAGTGGCTAGGGGGAACCGCCCTTCCACGGAGGTGGAAGGGTCGGTAGCCAACCCGGGAAGAACCAGCAGCAAACCCGGGGAGGGCCGAGCAGACGAAAGAACAGCGCAGGGTCCTGTGTCGTTCCTCCACGAAGAGGGGGAGCGACATAATGGTGCCGTGACTCGGATATGAAGCCTAGGCAGGGCTTAGTGTTGTTCCTCCATGAAGAGGGGGAGCGACATAATGGTGCCGTGACTTGGATAGGAAGCCTAGGCAGGGTTTAGTGTCGTTCCCCCACGAAGACGGGGAGCGACATAATGGTGCCGTGACTCGGATAGCAAACCTAGGAGGGAAGAAACGGGAAGAAGTGGGAAAATACCGCAGAGACTAGGAAAGAGCCTAGGGAAAGCCGGACGGAAAAGGTGCTGGAAGAAGCTATTAAAAGCCTAGGCATGACTCGGATATGGACTGTGGGAAAGAAGTTAGGATTGAAAGTGAAAGTGAAAGCTTTCATAGACTCGGATGCGGACTATGGCGGGGAAGCTAGGAGATTGAAAGCAAAAGTGAAACCTGGAGGAGGCTTGGACTCGGATACGGACTGTGGGAAAGAAGTTAGGATTTAAAGTGAAAGCAAGAAGAAACGTAGACTTAGATACGGACTGCAGGTTGAAAGTGAAAGTGAAACCTATAAGAAACTTAGACTTGGATACGGACTGTGGGGAGAAGCCAGGAGAAATGAGGGAGGAATATTGTTGGAAGAAAACTTAGGGAAACATACCGGGTAGAGAAAAATGTTAGGGAAATTGAAGCCGCGAGTGCAGGCCGAGGCGGAGACGTAAGCCAGCTTGGAATTCTTCAAGTCAGCCCGGGGAGGAAAAGGCGAAAATCTGGAACCAGAGGCAGAGACGTGGGCCGCCAGGTTGGAATTCGCCAGGTTAGTCCGGGGAACTTGGATTGAATACCAGTGGCGGAAACGTGAGCTACGCTGTGTGATTCGCGGAAGCCGCCGCGTGCAGAGAGAGCATGCGGCGTGAATAGATAGGGAATGCGGGGCTGGCGCGAGGCCGTGGTGCGGGCGCGAAGTGCATGGAGACCGCGGAGTGTGCGCGCGAAGCCAAGCCGCGCAGAGCCGGGAGCCCGCCGCAGGGCGGGCGCCGGGAAGCCACGCAGATGAGAGAAGCGCGGGCTGAAGCGGCGCAAAGCCGGGAAGCTGCCGCGGGGCGGTGAGGTGCCGAGAAGCAGCCTCGGGGCGGGCGCCGGGAAGCCGCGCAGATGAGAGAAGCGCGGGCTGAAGCGGCGCAAAGCCGGGAAGGCGCCGAGAAGCAGCCTCAGGGCGGGCGCCGGGAAGCCGCGAAGATAAGAGAAACAGAAGTTTAGAAGTAAAATGAGAGAAATAGGAATGCTGGCAGATAGAAGTAAAATAGGAGAGATAGGAATGCCCGGAGATAGAGAAATAGAGAAAAATAAGGCCTCCCCTCAACATGGCAATGAGAGAGCTTGGATTCGGTCTGCCTGATTAAGGAGGTGGTGAGCACCTGCGGGCAGCTAGCAGCTTATGCGCCGCAGGTCACCGAAGACAGGCACGAATTAACATCAATAAGTCTCCCCACAATACGGCAATGAGAAGGCTTGGATTCGGTTTGCCTGATTGCTAGGTCTTGTAAGCACCTGCAGGCAGTTCTAGCAGAGCAGAGCATGCGCTGCAGGGCACCGAACACAGGCACGCATCAGCGCCTAAAAACCTCACAACATGGCGAAGAGAGGACCTGGATTCGGTTTGCCTGATTGGTAGGCTTGTAAGCACCTGTGGGCAACTCTAGCAAGCAGAGCAGAGTGTGTGCCGCGGGGCACCGAAGACAGGCGTGTATCAACGCCAAAAATAAAAAGAAAGGGGGATCTGTGGGGAGCAACTGGGAGCAACTTGGACTAGACTAAGTTACTGGAATTAAGACTTATTCTATGCATCTTCTCTCCCACAATATGGCGCTGAGAAGGGAGAAGCAGCTTCTACACAGCTGCCTCCAGTTCAACCAATAAACAGCAGGACCTGCTCCTGATTGGAGGAGAGCAGCGTACTCGGCGTGTGGGTAGCAGAGTTGGGATTGGTGGAAGAGGACTATAAAGGAGGAGAGAGACAACATGTACCAGGAACATATAAGGGGAACACCTGTGCAGGCCCCGAGAGAGCCAGCCGGCGGTATGCCGCTCCCCCGCGGAAGTGGGTGAAAGTGGCTAGGGGGAACTGCCCTTCCACGGAGGTGGAAGGGTCGGTAGCAAACCCGGGAAGAACCAGCAGCAAACCCGGGGAGGGCCGAGCAGACGAAAGAACAGCGCAGGGTCCTGTGTCGTTCCTCCACGAAGAGGGGGAGCGACATAATGGTGCCGTGACTCGGATATGAAGCCTAGGCAGGGCTTAGTGTTGTTCCTCCATGAAGAGGGGGCGTGACAGGTGGCAGCCATTTTGGTGGGAAGTGCAGCACACCAGTGGAGTATGTGGTGGCCTCTGTTCCCGTTTCTCCTTTTGGGGTACTTGCCAAGATTCTATCAAGTATGTGGGCTCAACCAGATGCCCTGGGGACTCTTACCTCTACGTGGCATGTATGGCATCATCCTGGACCCACTGACCAGCACTGAATTCCAGAGGCAAATGGGTCACTCTGGGTCGCTAGGAGGGTGCTTGTTTGGGTGACCTTGGGACACCAAAATGGTGCAAACATGTTGATTTGGGGTGATTCTCCCACATGTTAGATATAAAATATATTCAGAATTCTGGATACTGACAGCTCGCTCGCTGCTGACTCTGGTGTTTGCCCTGTGTGTGGGTAGATCAGTGTGTCATCACACACTCCCCAACTGCAGTGCTGTCTCTGGTCCACAGCACCAAAAGGTAGCAAAGGTGGTGACCAGGTTCCTTTATCCTGTGCCTCCCCCAAAATCCCTATCTCTGGTTACCAGGTGGTCACCCCAGCCCCTCTGCAGACTCTGTGCCAAGTATATGGTGGTCCCTGGCTGCACCTGTATTCCCAGAGGACTTTCAAGACTATTGCTCTACAGTGCAATGAGCTCCAGCAGAGGCCTTTTCTTGCTGTTGATTCCGTGGTGATGTAATGCTCTCATGTGCTGGTCTTTTTCTTTTTCTGTTTTAAAAGATGTAATGCTCTCATGTGCTGGTCTTTTTCTTTTTCTGTTTTAAAAGATTTTGTTAATTTTTTTGAGAGGCAGAGTTACAGAAAGAGAGAAGGATAGACAGAGAGAAAGGTCTTCCATCTTCTGGTTCACTCCTCATATGGCCACAATGGCCAGAGCTGAGTAGGTCTGAAGCCAGGAGCCAGGAGATGATTTCTCTGGGTCTCCCACAAGGGTGCAGGGGCCCAAGCCCTGGGGTCATCTTCTATTGCTTTCTCAGGCCATAGCAGAGAGATGGATTGGAAGAGAAGCAGTGGGAACATGAAATGGTTCCTATATGGGATGATAGCATGCGGCTGGTGGAGGCTTAACCTACTCTGCCACAGTGCTGGCCCCATGGACTGGTCTTAAGTCATGCAGGATGGAGGACAGAAATTCCTTGTGAGGATGGGCTCTTTTACCTCTACCCTACCTCCCTGCTGGAGATGGCGTATGGAAGGCAGGTGTGTTATCAGTAATGATAGAGGTACCATTTGAGGAATGCAGCAATTATAGCCTAGAGTTCAATAGAAGACATGGTAGGGACGTGTGCTGTTCTCCTTCGATGCTATAAAACACCAAATACTAAATTTAACACCAACAGAAAATGAGCTATCTCCCACATTTTCCTGTGCACTATGATTAAGAATTGCATTGTGTGGACATCATCAATGAAACAAAATAATGACCTCTAAGAATGCCACTGGAAGCCAGAGTTCATGGATGGCGTGTATGATAGATGATGTAATGGTCACGCATGAGTAATGATGTCACTAAGATCGAATAACTTGAGGGGCAAAATATCTATGTTATTTCACTAAATCAGTTTCCAAGGTCGATGGCCATGGCTCCTGAATAATAACAGTGCTGCTACCTTTTTCTTAATGGAGGGGATGTAAAAATGGTATACTGGACAACAAAGGACATGAAGAGATGGTATGCTCATTGGACAGAAAGCAATTCCATCCATATCCATATATACAAATATACCCAGCAATCACTAGAATCCTGAGAGTGAACATCTCCATGTCTCCCAGAAGTTTCCTTGTGCCCTTTGGCAAACTTTCTTTGCTCTGTCCCAATACTCACTCTCTCAGGGAAGCCACTGGTCTACTTTCTATCAATATACATTAATTTAAATTTCTACAATTTTCTATAAATAGAATCATACAGTATGTCCAAATATTTAAATAGACACAAACTTTTTTTAAAAGATTTATTTTATTTATTTGAAAGAGTTACAGAGAGAGGTAGAGACAGAGAAAGAGAGAGATATCTTTCATCTGTTGGTTCACTCCCCAGATGGCCGCAACGGCTGGAGCTGTGCCGATCTGAAGCCAGAAGCCAGGAGGTTCTTCCTGGTCTCCCACGCGGGTGCAGGGGCCCAAGGACTTGGTCATCCTCTACTGCTATCCCAGGCCATAGCAGAGAGCTGCATCGGAAGTGGAGCAGCCAGGACTAGAACTGGCTCCCATTTGGGATGCTGGTGCTTCGGGCCAGGGCATTAACTTGCTGTATCACAGTGCCAGCCCCAACAGAAACTTTTAATATTTTGGGGGTAAATATTGAAGAATGGAATAGTTGCCTCATCTTGTAGCTTTCATTGAATTCCACAAATTTTGGTGAGTTGTTTTTTTCATTACATACATTGTTTTATTTCATTAAAATACCTTGTAATTTCCCCTTTTGATGTATTCTTTGACCGATGGGTTACTCAGAAGTGTGTTATTTAGATTCCAAAAATTTGGTGATGTTCCAGATATCTTTCTATTGTTGATTGCTAATCTGATGGCATGGTAATCACAGAATTCATTCTGTATGACTTAAATACTTGAAAATTTGTTGATACTTGTTTGTTTGTTTGTTTTTTGTATTTCCCCACACAGTTACTATTTTCAGTGCTTTTTGGTCCTTTGTGTAAATCTAGATTTCTATATGAATCATTTTTCTTCAGATATCTTTTCCTTCCTGTGTGTGCGCAAAGGGGAGAGAAACAGAATATAAACTCTCTGATATCTTTTCTTTTAAGGACGCTAATCCTATATGAGCAGGTCCCCATATCTATGACCTTATTAGCCACCAGTACCTCTATAACGACCCTATCTTCAAATGCAGTTATACTGGAGGTTGAGACTCCAGTGTATGAGTTTGTGAGTGAGGGGCACAAATCATTCCACAGGAGAAGATGACTTGGAAATATGGAGACAGGGGTGAGGGGTAACTTGGGGGCAACAGAAAGCTGAGGGAAGAGAGGAGTTCATGGAAATGCGAGGTCAACACAATGAGACAATGCGGTCATAATAAAACGGACAGTTCCAGCGCACTGTGTGGGTATTGTGGGCAGCTCTTCACCTGGGTGACCTCTGATTCCTCGTGGCACTGGGTGTGGTCAGCTTGCTTTAGAGTTCAGGAAACAGAGACTTGTGGAAGTTGGATAACCTGACGGAGGTTCCTGCAGCTGCTGAGGAGAGCTGCATTCAAACTGGTCTCCCTTAACCCAGGTGTGCTGTTTTCGCTAGGCTCAGCTGCCTCTCGGTAGGGGTTGCTGCTGAGAAGAGACCTGGCTTGGAAGAGGCTTAGGAAGCATCAGTGAGGCTGTGGGCGTCAGAAGGGAGGCTTTCTGATGTGGGTAGTTGGGAGCTACAGAAGTGTGCCCTGGCCAGTGTAGACCAGCGTGAAGGACATTGGTGCTCTTTGATGTATCTGTTGGGTACTCATGGAAAAGATGACTCCAGGGCTCGGTGTTGTGGTGCAGCAGGCAAAGCTGTCCATTGTGATGCCAGCATCCTGTGACCCAGTGCTGGTTTGAGTCCCAGATGCTCTGCTTCTGATACAGCTTCCTGCTAACACACCTGGGAAAGCAGCAGAAGATGGTTCAAGCACTAGTGACCTTGCACTCACTTGGGAGACCCGGATGGAGTTCCAGGCTCCTGACTTGAGGCCCGCCAGGCCTAGCTTCAGTGGTTGCGAGAATTTGGGGAGTGCACGAGTGTGGAAGATCTTTCTGTCTCTCTCTCTCTCTGCCACTCTCTTTCAAATAAATAAATAAATAAATCTTAAAAAAGGAAAGAAAAATGACTCCAACTGCTGTGGTGGGGAGGGGGGGAAGGTCCCCAGCTGTATTTACTCCAGGTTCTTATCTCCATGTGAGATAAAATTCAAAGTGGAGTCATATATTGAATGCAAAAATGAAAGGAGGATTTATTTAGAGAGAGAACATTTGAAAGTTAACATGGGTAGCTCTGTGAGGAGAGGCACACACTATAAGGAGCAGCATTTGTAGCCCAGTTCAGTGGTCTCTTTTATTGGATAGGGGTGGTGACCTAACTGAATATACAAATGGGGTGGAGCTTGGGCACAGTTCAGTGCGTGTGATGATTCCTGGGAAGGCTTTCTTGGCATCTCCACCTGGAGCCCAGTGTACACACACTCATAATGGCATCTTTATGATACAGGAGGCTCAGGTGCATCAATTAAATTGGCCTGCAAGGAGGGGGGAGTTAGGATCCAGGCAATGAGACAGAGACTGCTGGAAACTTCTTAGCTCCTTTGTTCCTCACTGGCTCCCTGCCTCATCTGTATCACAGGTAGCTTTAGGAAGCTCGACATTCTGTGTTCACTGGCATCAGAACTGTGTGCACCACTTCAGATCTTTTCTGTGTCATCTTTCTGTGTCTTCTCTTGTTCTGGGCTGCACCTCTGGTGACACCTCTGCATGGGCTACACCTGCAGGCAGATGCACAGGTGTCTGACTTTGCCTGCTGTCACCATGGGCACCTACTCTGAGCCCCTACAAATTGATGGACACATTTCCTTCTTTTTCTGTCACAATGGCCAAAAGACTTTAGCACTCAACTTTCAGAAAGAGCAGATCATCCAGGTAGAAAACCAATAAGGAATCCAGGGTTTACAGGCCAGCAGCAGCCCTGGCTGGTGGCAGCCAGCCTGGAATGCAGAGTCATTTCCCCCTCTTCTCTTTCTCTGCTCCCCTGCTCCTTTCCTTTGGCCTACTGCTTGGGATGATACTTAATACAGTGATAGTACTGAAGGCCCTTTTGAGAAGGATTCTGAGATCACATCAAATCTCATTGAGGACAAGCTCTGAGGTCAGATTTGGATGTCTGCAATGGACATGGTGAAAAGAGAGCAGAGGTCTGCTATACATTTCTTCACTTTTCAGCTTTAGACATATGTATTAGCTCTTCTATGTAAGATGAGTGCCTGTGGGGTCAAGCTGAGTCTTATTTATTAAGTGAGGGAAAGAGTTGGAGTGTAGTGGAGAGGAGAGAAACTTTGCATTTTTTAAAGATTTATTTATTTATTTGGAGGTCAGAATTACACAGAGAGAGGAGAGACAGAGGGAGAGAAAGGTCTTCCACCTGCTGGTTCATTCTCCCATTTGGCCACAATTGCCAGAGCTGTGCTGATCTGAAGCCAGGAGACAGGAGCTTCTTCCAGGACTCCTATGTGGGTGCAGAGGCCCAAGGACTTGGGCCCTCTTACCCTGGCTTCCCAGGCCATAGCAGAGAACTGGATCAGAAGTGGAGCAGCTGGGTCTCGAACCAGTTCCCATATGGGATGCCAGCACTGAAGGCAGCAGCTTTGCCTGCTAAGCTACAGTGCCAGCCCCAAAACTTCCATATTTTAAACATCTACTATGTGCTGGGCACTGTTTAGTTACATCATATTTAATATCCACATTAACTGTCTGGAGTAGGTATTATCTCACTTCAAAAAGTGTAGGATTATGAGACTTACCTCAATTTATTTAGTCAATACATTTGTACCATTGTTTTATATGAAAATTCCCGTGCTCTGTCCTCTTGATTCTTTCAGAATCACAACAAGAAACTGATAACATATGTAGATAGGGTGATTGAAGAATGTTAATAAAGGGACTATTAAGAAAGATGTGGGAAGAGATAAGAGAAGTCTGCAAATGGAATCCAATGTCTATCAAGAGTGGGAACAAGTCTCCCTGGAAGACGTAAGATGTAAGAAGGAAATGGTCAATAGAATTCGAGGGTTGGGGCTACATGACAGGAACGGAGGCTTCAGTGGGAGGGTGAAAAAAACTCCACTATGGTCCAAGGAGGGGTGGGGACTGTAATGAACTTTAGGTCTTCACACACTTGCTGGTGACTTCCATTGGCTGATGCCAACTGGGAGTCTGAGGACAAAGTATTCCAAAGAGGAGGTCCCCATAGGTCAGGCTTTTGCCCAGCAGAGAAAGATGGAGTAAAAAGACGGAGGATTTGGAGGCCAAATAAACTATACAGCACATTCCATGCAAATAGTGTTAGATAATGCTCTTAGATGCTCGGAGATTTTTCAGGCAAATAACTGATGTACAGAGCCTTTTATGATTCAGTCAAAACCCCTAAAAGATACCTGTAACTCAACAGTGGCTTAGGCATTGAAGACATGTAATTACTTCACATTTGAAGAAGTCTGGATGTCAGCAGTCCAGGGCTGACACAGAGGGTCACTGACATCATCAAAGATGTCATCCCTCTTTCTCTTTTCTTTCTGCAGCCCTCACTATGCTGATTCCTCCTACTTGTGGTTTGTCACTGCTGCACTATAATGTATCCACTGCAGTCCTAGGACACACACGTTTATTTATAGAAATTTGGGCACCAAAGGCAAAGTATTTCTCCTTGTGAAGTGTTGTATTCTTTTTTCCTTTCGTTTTGATTCTTATATCTTTTCTTTTCTCAAATTATTTTTGTAAATTTTTATATCGTAAAAATTGTAGATTTTTATGGTATACAGCAAATATTGAACACATACACATAGTACAAATAAATCAAGCCAGGCAATTGTCTTTCCATTTCTGTGTGTGTGTGTGTGTGTGTGTGTGTTTGGAGGCTACTAGGTCCTATCTTTCAGTTCAACACAGCACATATCACATTACACTTTATTATTTAGACAGTGCATATTGGCCGGCACCATGGCTCAATAGGCTAATCCTCCGCCTGCGGCGCCGGCACTCAGGGTTCTAGTCCCAGTCGGGGTGCCAGATTCTGTCCCTGGAAGCCAGGCCAGCACTCTGCTGTGGCCTGGGAGTACAGTGGAGGATGGCCCAGGTCCTTGGGTCCTGCACCCGCATGGGAGACCAGGAGGAAGCACCTGGCTCCTGCCTTTGGATCAGCGTGATGTGCTGGCCGCCGTGTGCCGGCCGCGGCAGACATTGGGGGGTGAACCAAATGCAGAGGAAGACCTTTCTCTCTGTCTTTCACTCTCACTGTCCACTCTGCCTGTCAAAATAAAAGATAGTACATATCATATTATACTTTATTATGTTTATAATATATTACAGTGTGTGATACATTGTTCTGAGCTATGGTAACCAGATTGTACCAGGGAACATTGGAATTTTCTGCATTAATTGATATGATTGTTTGATTTTTATCCTTAATTCTGTTGATATTACACATTATGTTTATTGATTTGTATGTGTTTTTTTTAAAGATTTTATTTTTTATTTGAGAGGTAGTCACAGACAGTGAGAGGAAGAGACACAGAGAGGTCTTCCTTCTGTTGGTTCACTCCCCAAATGGCCACAATGGCCAGAGCTGCGCCAATCTGGATCCAGGAGCCAGGAGCTTCTTCTGGGTCTCCCATGAAGGTGCAGGAGCCCAAGCATTTTGGCCATCTTCTACTGCTTTCCCAGACCATAGAAGAGAGCTGGATAGGAGGAGAAGCAGCCAGGACTAGAACCAGCGCCCATATGGGATGTTGGTGCCTCAGGTAGAGGATTAACCTACTGCACCATGGCACACATATGTATATGTTCAACCATCCCTACATTCCTAGGATAAATTCCACTCTGTCATGATGAACTCTTTGAAATATTACTGTATTTCACTTGCTAGTTCTTTGTTGAGAAGTTTCTCTTCTATGTTCATCAGGGATATTGGTCTACAGTTTTCTTTTTCTGTTGTGTGCTTGATCAGTTTTATTTATTTATTTATTTATTTATTTTTAAAGATTTATTTGAAAGTCAGAGTTACACAGAGAGAGAAGGAGAGGCATAGAGAGAAAGAGACAAAGAGGTCTTCCATCGGCTGGTTCACTCCCTAGTTGGCTGCAACGGTCGGAGCTGTGCCGATCCGAAGCCAGGAGTCAGGAGCTTCTTCCAAGTCTCCCATGCAGGTGCAAGGGCCTAAGAACTACTTTCCCAGCCATAGCAGAGAGCTGGATTGGAAGTGGAGCAGCTGGGACTTGAACCAGTGCCCATATGGGATGCTGACACTGTAGGCCCTGCTACAGGCCCACTACACCACAGCGCCGGCCCCCTTGATTGGCTTTAGAATCAAGGAGAAGTCGGCGCCATGGCTCAACAGGCTAATCCTCCGCCTTGCGGCGCCGGCACACCGGGTTCTAGTTGCGGTCGGGGCACCTTATTCTGTTCCGGTTGCCCCTATGGCAGGCCAGCTCTCTGCTATGGCCAGGGAGTGCAGTGGAGGATGGCCCAAGTGCTTGGGCCCTGCACCCCATGGGAGACCAGGAGAAGCACCTGGCTCCTGCCATCGGATCAGCGTGGTGTGCGGGCCGCAGTGCGCTGGGCGCGGCGGCCATTGGAGGGTGAACCAATGGCAAAGGAAGACCTTTCTCTCTGTCTCTCTCTCTCTCACTGTCCACTCTGTCAAAAAAAAAAAAAAAAAGAAGAAGAATCAAGGAGACATGTAGGATAATTTTGTGAAATCCCCTTTTGATATATTCAATGTTCCATTGTTCATTAGAGAAGATATTTTTCAGTTTCTATGCATTTGAATAGTTTCAAGAGTTTCCTTTGTTGTCAGTTTCTAGTTTCATTCTGTTGTGATAAAAAGTACTTTAGTTCTTTGAGGCTTGTTTCTCAGCCTCCTATATGGTCTATCTTAGAGAATATTAGATGTGCTGATCAAAATAATGTGTATTCTGCATTTGTAGGATGGAATGCTCTTTAAATATATGTTAGGTTTATTTGGTCAACAGTACAGTTTAATTCTGATTATTTTTGATGATTTTTGTTTTTTTTTTGGCTGAGCGATTTGTCTAGTTGAAAGTGAGATGTTGAGGTTCCCCACAATGATTGTATTGGAGCCTATCTCTTGCTAAATCTAACAATGTTTGTTTTATACAATTAGGTAGCCAGCAATAGTAGTATATATACTTAGACCTGTTTTATCTTCTAATTATATAAATCATTCGATCATTACATTGTGACCCCATTTTTGTCTCTTTTTACTATTATTGTATTAAATTCCATTTTGTCTGATGAAAGTATAGCTACTTCTGCTCACTTTTGGTTTCTGTTAGCATGGAATATCTTTTTTTCCATCGTTTTTCTTTCAGTGTACATGTGTTTACTGGTGAAGTAGATTTCTTGTAGAAAAATGGAAGGACAAGGTCATTCACTTCTCAGCAATAACATGGAATATAAATGACATAAATTCTCCAATTGATATATGCAGACTGCCTGAATGAGTTAAAAAACATGACTAATCTATATGCTACCTATAAAAAACATACCACACACACACACAAAAAAAAATACAGAAAGACTGAAAGCAAGAGGATGGAGAAAGATTTCCATGCAAATGGAAATAAAAAAATGAGCAGGAGTAGCTATTCTAAAATCAGGCAAAATAGACTTAAATGCAAAACTATTAAAAGGGAAAAAAGAAGGGCATCATGTAATGACTAAGTGATCTATTTAACAGGAAGATGTGACTAGAGGAAATGCAGATGTACCCAATTCTAGGGCACCTAGCTACTTAAAACAAATGCTGATTGACTTAAAACGAGACATATATTCCAATACAAGAATAGTGGGGGACTTTGACATCCCACTTTCAACAATGGACAGATCAACTAGACAAAAAATCGATAAAGAAACAACAGAGCTAGTCTATAATATTGACCAATTTGATTTATTTCATATCTACAGAGCATTTCATCCCACAGCCGCAGAATACATATTCTTTTCATCAGAACATGGATTGCTCTCTAGGGTAGACTATATTATAGGCTATAATAGAAGTCTCAACAAATTCAAAAAAGTTGAAATTGTACCATGTATTTTATTTAACCACACAGAATGAAGCTAGACATTAACAATGTAGGAAACTATAGAAATACGTAAACATATAGAGATGAAAAACATGCTCCTTAATAAACAGAGAGTCATAAAAGAAATCAAAAAGGACATAAAAAGTTCCTAGAAATGAGTTAAGATGACAACACTTATCAAAACTTATGGGATACAACAATGTCAGTGTTAAGAGGAAATTTTATAGCAATTAGTGACTACAATAATAAATTGGAAAGGCATCAAATAAATGATCCAAAAATGCATCTAAAGGACCTAGAAAAACAAGAGAAAACAAACCCAAGGAAGAAAGGAATAATAAAAATTATAGGTTGGGCTGGTGCCATGGCTCAATAGGCTAATCCTCTGCCTGTGGCACTGGCACACCGGATTCTAGTCCTGGTCTGGGCGCCAGTTCTGTCCCAGTTGCTCCTCTTCCATCCATTCCAGCTCTCTGCTGTGGCCAGGGAGTGCAGTGGAGGATGGCCCAGGTCCTTGGGCCCTGCACCCGCATGGGAGACCAGGAGGAAGCACCTGGCTCCTGGCTTTGGATCGCCGCCACAGGGCAGCTGCCATAGTGGCCATTTGGTGGGGGGGGGGGTGAACCAACGGAAAAAGGAAGACCTTTCTCTCTGTCTCTCTCACTGTCTAACTCTGCCTGTCAAAAAAAAATTATAGGTAAACAAAATTGAAATACAAAAGATTTGTGAAATGAAGAGCTGATTTTAAAATAATAAAATCAATAAACCTTTGTTCCAACTAACCAAAAAAGGAAGACCCAAATTAACAAAATAAGAGATGAAAAGGATATGTTACAATGGGTATCACAGAAATAAAAAGAATCGTCATGAGTTACCTCAAGTAACTATATACCAACAAATTGGAAAATATTGAAGAAATGAATAGATTTCTGGGCACATACAATTTACCAAAATTGAAATACAGAGACACACAAAACCTGAATAGATCAGTAACCAAGACAGAGAATGAATCAGTAATAAAGACTGTCCCAACAAAGAAAATTTCAGGACTGGATGGCTTCACTGCTGAATTCTACCAGACATTTTAAGAAGAACTAATTCAAATTTTTTTCAAGCTATTCATAACAAGTGAAAGGGAGGGAGTCCTCCCAAACTCCTTCTATGCGGCCATTGGGCCATCATCACCTTAATTTCTGAACCAGAGAAAGATACACCAGAGAACGAGCATTATAGATCAATATCCCTGGTGAACATAGATGCAAAAATCCTTAAGAAAATAATAGCTAATCTAATCCAACAATACATAGAAAAGATCATCCACCTGGATCAAGTGGGTTTTACCCTGGGATGCAGGGATGGTTCAACATTTTCAAATCAATAAATGTGATATATCAAGTTAACACATTGGAGAATAAAAACCATGTGATTATCTCAGAAGCATTTAATAAAATACAACTTTCCTTCCTGATAAAAATCTTAAGCAAATTGGTTATAGAAGGGCTATTCCTCAACACAGACAAAGGAATGTGTGACAAACCCATAGCCAGCATCACACTGCATAGGGAAAAGCAAGAAGCATTTCCACTAAGGTCCAGGAGCAGACAAGAATGCCCATTCTCACCATTACTATTCAATACAGTTCTGGAAGTTTTAGCCAGACCCATTCGGCAAGAAAAGAAATCAAATGAATACAAATAGGAAAGGAGAAAGTCAAATTATCCCTGTTTGCAGAAGACAAACAAATCCCTTCATGTAAATAAATTTAAAATAGCAAAAAAAATCTGAGAAATCCTCAATGAAGAAAGGAATTCACCTTGCAATTAAGACATCCTACTCAATTAGAATTTGCCAAGACACTAGAATAGAGAAAAACTTGAGGTGTTTGAAAGACATATAAAACCGTGGTGTCTGAAGCAGTCTCTATGAGAAAGTACATGAAATATGACAATGTTGAAAGCATACATTGTGTGGCCAGTGCCGTGGTGTAGTGGGTAAACCCATCGCCTGCAGTGCCGGCATCCCATATGAAGTCCCGACTGCTCCACTTCCGATCTAGCTCTCCACTATGGCCTGGGAAAGCAGTAGCAGATGCCCCAACTCCTTGGATCCCTGAACTCTTGTGGGAGACCTGGAAGAGGCTCCTGGCTCCTGGCATCTGATCAGCACAGCTCTAGCCATTGCAGCCATTTGGGGAGTGAACCAGCAGGTGGAAGACCTCTCTCTCTCTCTCTCTGTCTCTGCTTCTCCTTCTCTCCCTGTTTAACTCTTTCAAATAAATAAATAAATATTCTTTTTTTAAAGAAAACATACTGTGAGCAAATCATGCACTATTAAAGGAAGTCAGGACTTAGAATCTAAGTTTGATAGAAAGCACTAATGTAGGGTTTTAAGCAGGAGTGTGGCAAGATACAATTTGCAGTTTAGATTTGAAGATTAGGTATGTATTATTATCCACATGTAATGAGAGTTTTGAGTAATCTGAAGTTGTTTTCAATTGTGTTATTTTGAATCTTCTATTTCCACCTGTTGTGTTCAGTAATGGTAGTTGAGCAGGATTCATAACTTTCTTTCCTTTTTTAAGATTTATTTATTTTATTTGAAAGGCAGAGATACAGAGAGGCTGAGGCAGAGAGAGAGAAAGAAGAGAGAGAGAGAGGTCTTCCATCCACTAGTTCACTCCACAGACAGCCGCAATGGGCGGAGCTGGGTTGATCTGAAGCCAGGAGCCAGGAGCTTCTTCCAGGTCTCCCATGCAGGTGCAGGGGCCCAAAGACTTGGGCCATCTTGTACTGCTTTCCTGGGCCACAGCCAAGAGCTGGATCGAAGAAGAGCAGCCGGAGTTGAACTGGTACCCACCCATATGGGGTGCCAGCACCGCAGGCAGTGGGTAGTATGCCACAGTGCCAGCCCATCATATCTGCTGAATGGGAACTTGGGGTGGTAGTTGTTGGTAACCTGGACTATTCTAACTGACTTAGGAAACCCTTTGGGAAGGTGTTTAACTTGAGGACTTGGTGGCTTATTGGTACTGGTTTTTGAAAATAAGGCAATGTTATCTTTTATTATCAGCCTTGGGCCCCAGTAATTCAAAGTCAATTGAGAAATCTTACTCAATATTGTTTCACATATGATTCGTAAATGAAACTAGGGCCCTTGGATGTGAAGCAACTTATCCCTAGTCCCACATGTGTAGTAATTTAAAGAGTTAGAGGTTGCAGTTCTACACTGTAGAACCAAAGCCTATGTTTGGAACCACTGTGCTCTACAGGTAAAGTGTATCCAAAGGAGATGAGTCCTCTTGGTAAGTTTAAATAAACAAAGGAACAAGATAAAATAGCAGGGGACTGAGTGTTGTGTTGTAGTGCACAAATACTCAATATTCCTCCTCTCTATCAGTCCCATCAGTTAAACTGTTCATAGTGATTCTTGTGTCCTGGGAATACTGTGAAAACCACAGAAACTGGGAGTCAGAATGTGAAGGGAAACATTATAAACATTACAAATGTCACAGGACTTCTTTCTCAAAACTGTTCAATATTCACTTTCCAAAAAATGTTAGATGTACATGGAGTTTCCATTTTCCCATGGAAGGTGAGATGTTGAGGAATACTGATGTTTTCAGTGGAGAACAGAAGATACCAGTCACAGAGCCATTAGAATAACTGAAGAACTGAATTTCTTTAAGAAACCTCTCCTTAGGTCGCCTGAAACACCCATGTTAAATTTCAAGTGCATTGGTTCTAGCATTCTACATGTGTCCATCAATTTTATTTATTTTCACACACCAAATTATCCTCTAAAACCAATGCAGATTCTAATATCTATAATCATTTATGTACTTTTTATAACTTTATAGAGAGCATCTTTCTCTTGAGAACAAAGCACCATTGTATCTGTTTCTAGATCCACACACATCTGTCTTTCTGGAAACTATGCTTTGTATGCCCTAATTTAAAGAACTCATTAAAATAAAAGGAAGAAAAGCAACTGTAATAGTAACTGATTACAGTCAACATTCCCATAATTTGTAATGTCTTAATTTTTCCTCCCGCTGTAGAACACAGTACTTTCTGTTTCAAATTTGGATAATTGAATAGTGACTTATGTGCAAATTGACAGTGATTCTCAAAAACATTTACATCATATTGATGATTAAAGCAACAAAGGCCGGTTTTCTGTTAATTTTTTTTTAACTTTTATTTAATGAATATAAATTTCCAAAGTACGGCTTATGGATTACTATGGCTTCCCCCAATACAGTCCCTCCCACCCACAACCCTCCCGTTTCCCACTCCCTCTCCCCTTCCATTCACATCAAGATTCATTTTCGATTATCTTTATCTACAGAAGATCAGTTTAGTATACATTAAGTAAGGATTTCAACAGTTTGCTCCCACACAGAAACATAAAGTGGAAAATAATAGATGATTTTTTTAAATGATGATGAAATCAGATCAGACCTATTGTCATGTTTATTCCCAGTGAGAGTCAAGTTGGGAATTGATAATTTCTTTTTTTTTTTTTTACAGAAGATCAGTTTAGTATGCATTAAGTAAAGATTTCAATAGTTTGCACCCCCATAGAAACACAAAATGAAATAAATTGTTTGAGTACTCGTTATAGCATTAGATCTCAATGCACAGCACATTAAGGACAGAGATCCTACATGAGGAGTAAGTGCACAGTGACTCCTGTTGTTGACTTTACCAATTGACACTCCTGTCTATGGCATCAGTAAACTCCCTATGCTCCAGTCATGAGTTTCCAAGGCTATGGAAGCCCTCTGAGTTCTCTGACTCTTATCTTGTTTAGACAAGGTCATAGTCAAAGTGGAGGTTCTCTCCTCCCTTCAGAGAAAGGTACCTCCTTCTTTGAAGACCTGTTCTTTCCACTGGGATCTCACTCACAGAGATCTTTTGCCAGAGTGTCTTGGCTTTCCATGCCTGAAATACTCTCATGGGCTTTTCAGCCAGATCCGAATGCCTTTAGGGCTGATTCTGAGGCCAGAGTGCTATTTAGGACATCTGCCATTCTATGAGTCTGCTGAGTATCTCACTTCCCATGTTGGATCACTCTCCCCTTTATTTATTCTATCGGTTAGTGTTAGCAGGTACTAGACTTGTTTATGTGCTCCCTTTGACTCTTAGTCCTTTCATTATGATCAATTGTGAACTGAAATTGATCACTTGGAATAGTGAGCTGGCATTGGTACATGCCACCTTGATGGGATTGAATTGGAATCCCCTGGTATGTTTCTAACTCTACCATTTGGGGCAAGTCAGCTTGAGCATGTCCCAAATTATACATCTCTTCCCTCTCTTATTCCCACTCTTACGTTTAACAGGGATCACATTTCAGTTAATTTTCAACACTTAAGAATAACTGTGTATTAATTACAGAATTAAACCAGTCATATTAAGTAGAACAGACAAAAAAGCTACTAAGAGGGATAATGCATTAAGTTGTTCATTAACAGTCAGGGCTATGCTGATCAAGTCACTGTTTCCCATAGTGTCCATTTCACTTCAGGAGGTTTTCTGTTAATTTAATCTCTCTTTTACATGTCTTGCCAATCACACCAGCTTTTTGGGATTCTCCCAAAAATAGGTGGTAACGCTTTTGGGCCTCCACTGTTTGTTTTAAGTAAAGTAAGTTTTCACTGTGGCAATCATTCTAAGAGGATATTTTTGTTAAAGCTTTGTGAAATCCTATGAATTTTGGTTACTGTTTCGGTATGCTTATCACTTCTGCTGTCAGTACTTAATAAATATTATTGAAGTAATAAAATATCTACTTTCTGTAGAATAACCATTCTCTAGCACTCTAAGCCTTGTTCTTGAATTTGTTATTTGAAGTCAGAATGTTCATGTTATTCACTCTGTAAACAGATGCTGGAAGTCCCATCTTGTTACTAATAGGCTCTGTAACCTGAAACAAACCACCTGGCATTTCTGAATTTACCTTCTTCAAAAGAGAAATTGGGCCAGTGCCGCGGCTCAATAGGCTAATCCTCCACCTGCGGCACCGGCACACCGGGTTCTAGTCTTGGTCAGGGTGCCGGATTCTGTCCTGGTTGCTCCTCTTCCAGTCCAGCTCTCTGCTATGGCCCGGGAGTGCAGTGGAGGATGGCGCAAGTGCTTGGGTCCTGCACCTGCATGGGAGACCAGAGTGAAGCACCTGGAACCTGGCTTCCGATCAGCGGGGTTCGCCGGCAGCGTGCTGGCCGCAGTGGCCATTGGGGGTGTGAACCAATGGAAAAGGAAGACCTTTCTCTCTGTCTGTCTCTCTCACTGTTTAACTCTACCTGTCCAAAAAAAAAAAAAATTCAAGAAGGCGAAACAACCGGCACTGTGGCTCACTAGGCTAATCCTCCGCCTTGCTGCGCTGGCACACCAGGTTCTAGTCCCGGTCGGGGCGCCGGATTCTGTCCCAGTTGCCCCTCTTCCAGGCCAGCTCTCTGCTGTGGCCAGGGAGTGCAGTGGAGGATGGCCCAAGTGCTTGGGCCCAAGTGCTTGGGCCCGGTCGCGGCGGCCATTGGAGGGTGAACCAACGGCAAAGGAAGACCTTTCTCTCTGTCTCTCTCTCTCACTGTCCACTCTGCCTGTCAAAAAAAAAAAAAAAAAGCCGAAACAAAAAAGTTCATAACCCACAGGAATAGCATTTCTCAGAGAGAATATAGTAGATTCCTGATTACTCATTAATTTTCATGTTCCAAAAAAACTGTCCTGAGTAGTGATCATTTGTGTGGAAATGATTTCATCTGCAAAAAGCAAAGAAAACCTGAGGAATATTCTTCCGCCTCTATTAAATCAGTGTTTCCACAGAGCTTTGCTACATATGATCCTATTACTAAGCTGAATGAAGTGAATACTTAAAGGCAAAACATATGCTGAAAAAATATAAAAACATTTATTATGTAGTTTCTCTCTCATAAAGTGATCATATGAAATCTGTTGGGAAAACTGAAAGAACAAAAGATATGCAGCTAAATGCCTGCTATAACTCATAGGGCATTCTTGTTTTTTCTTTACTGAGCTCAGACTTGAAACAAACTGTATATCCTCAGATAGCACATGCAAAAATTACTTACATGTGCTTGCATCCTTTCTTTTATCCTGATTATTTAAAGACAATAAAATAATGAGATTGCTAATTTACATTTGTATTATATAAAATGTGACTCAGACTTCAAATATAGTCTAACATGAAGTTATTTTAAATCACTCTTTTAGATTCTCTTTCACCACTCTCTCAAATGAAAACAAACATGATACATGCTCAATTGTGGTTGAGTTTCATTTCTGCCTAACTTCAGAGGTTAATTAATCATAGAAATCTTCATAGAAGAGTTGTTGATGTTCAAAATCCTTGAGGGAACATCTTTTTGACTTCATTTTTTGTAATAAAATACATATAAAATTTTAACTATGTTTAAGTTCAGGGACATGCCCACTTTCATTTTTGTACATCCATCATCACTATACATTTTCAGAATTCTTTTCTTGAAACTTTGAGATTCTATATCAATTAAACAGCAATCACCATTCCCCTACTTGCCCACACTCTGGCAACTGCTACTTGACTTTCCATCTCTGTAATCCTGATTATTCTGGAAACCTCACGTGAGTACAATCACACAATGTTGTCTTTTTGTAACTGGGTTGCTTCACTTAGCATATTGTCCTCAGAGATAATTCATACTGTGGTATATGTCAGAATTTCTTTTCTTTTCTTTCTTTCTTTTTTTTTTTTTTTTTTTGACAGGCAGAGTGGACAGTGAGAGAGAGAGACAGAGAGAAAGGTCTTCCTTTGCCGTTGGTTCACCCTCCAATGGCCGCCGCGGCCGGCGCGCTGCGGCCGGCGCACCGCGCGGATCCGATGGCAGAAGCCAGGAGCCAGGTGCTTTTCCTGGTCTCCCATGGGGTGCAGGGCCCAAGCACCTGGGCCATCCTCCACTGCACTCCCTGGCCACAGCAGAGGGCTGGCCTGGAAGAGGGGCAACCGGGACAGAATCCGGCGCCCCGACCGGGACTAGAACCCGGTGTGCTGGCGCTGCTAGGAGGAGGATTAGCCTAGTGAGCCGCGGCGCCGGCCTGAATTTCTTTTCTTTTTAAAGTTGAATAATAGCCCATTATATGTATATACCACGTTTTGCTCACCCATTCATCTATTGATGTACACTTGAGTTGCTTCCATGTTTTAACAGTTGTGAATAATTCTACTATGAAGATGGGTGCACAGATATTTCTTGAAGTCCTTGCTTTATCATCTCTTTTGCATTTAGTTGACTTTTCAGTGAAGTATTTTAACTTCTTCAGTTTTCTTTTGGATGTATTCTATCACTATTTTCTTTGTAGTTACCATGGAGATTACATTTAACATTATAGAATGGTAGCACTCTAATTTGAATTTAGGGTAGTTTGATGTCAATAACATAAAAATCCTGTTTATTCACAGCTCCATTCCCTTGGTATTTCTTTAGTGGGGATACTGAGAGGAGGTGGGATCTTTAAGAAGTGGTCCCTAGCAGAAAGTGACTATGTCATTGCTGCCCTCAGAAGGGAATAATGTTCTTGTGGAAGCCCGGCTAGTTCCTGAGAGTGAGTGTTAGCTTTCTTAAATTTGCATTTATTATTCATTTTTGTTTCAAAGGCAGAGATACACACACAAAGACACATACAAAAAGAGGTTTTACATATATTGGTTTACTTCCTAAATTACTTTAGTGGCTGGGACTGGGCCAGGCCAAAGTCAGAGCTCTGGAACCCATTCCAGGTCTCCTACATGGATCGCAGGCACTCAAGTACTTGCGTCATCATTCGCTGTTCTCCAGGTGAACATCAGCACCAGGCAGGACTGGAAGAAGCAGAGTTGGGGCTGAATCCAGGCACTCTGATAGGTGATGTGGGTGTCCCAAGCAGCATCTTAGCCACTGCATCAAACGTCCACCCTGAGAGTGAGTTGTTCTCAAGCCTGGCCTGGGAATCCCTCCTGCTTTCTGTATTACCATGTGAGCCCTCATTCTTTTTTTTTTTTTTTTTTTTTTGACTTTAAAAAATAAGTATATTTTGGTAAAAAAAAAAAAAAAAAGCTTGAAATGCACGCAGAGGCTTGCTTTTTGTTTTCATAGCACACATTTCCCGTGAACTTCTTGAAGGCCTTTCACCTGCATGGATTTCCAAAACTCCCTTCACCAAAATCATCTTACCATTTGGGAAGTTACTTATGTATTTATACTTTACAG